ACAGTTATGAATGCTGCTTCTATAGATTCAGGCATACTGATAGAATGTGTTTGTTAATGTGTGATCACTTGGGAAAGGCAATAAATAAATAAATATGAAGATTCATTTGATTCAATTCCCAAAAAATGGACGATTGAGATCTTCTCCAATACGTTCTCTCTTATTTTTTTTTATTGAATTATCTATCATTAATGTGAATGGGACCCATTGTTTATAATTGGATTCTATATTTATTAACTTACATTTGACCTGCCACTCATTCTGTCTGTTTTATTTTGAGTAAATATTCGATGTAATGCTGTTACTACATCATTATCATTACGTGATGTTACTATTTAATGAAAAATGACTAAATAGATAAAAACGAACCTTATTTCTTTAAATGTATAGTTATTACATTACATACAAGGATAGTTATGAACGCATATTCACTTGTTATTTTATTAGACACCATTGCGTGAGAGTGAAAATGAGAATGAGAATGATGATGTGATGTTATTGTTACATTAAATATTTTGTTGTTTATGGGGTGCCAAATAAACAGCGTGAAAAGTGGTATGTTGGGTAGAATGTTTGATTTTTTTTAATCCTCCATCATTTTTTTTCCATATTTGAGCTAGGTTGTCATGAGCGGGTTTAGAATTACTACTATGTTTAAATTATATTTAGACCCCTTGAACTATACCTCTCGTATCATATTTTCTCNGTTTCTGTATGCTTTACTATTAGTTTAGTTGCTTTTATTTTATATTTTTTAATATGTCACTCCATAAATCAAGCGGGTTTAGAATTACTACTATGTTTAAATTATATTTAGACCCCTTGAACTATACNGCCATGAAAGACTTGATGATGATTATTATTTTTTTTCTTTTCGTTTTCCAGATTAGTTGAGTCATGTATTTTTTTAGCATACACTAGGCAGGAATTCCAATTGTCTGTTCTGACACCTCCCTCATGCATCTGGGAACAGTTGGTGCTTGTTATACCAGGTGCTTATGTAAGAAACTGATTTAATTTGTTCAAGCAACTTATTCTGATGGCTTAGAAACTGTTCCTATCCAATATGTGTTGTCTCCTACAGTTATGAATGCTGCTTCTATAGATTCAGGCATACTGATAGAATGTGTTTGTTAATGTGTGATCACTTGGGAAAGGCAATAAATAAATAAATATGAAGATTCATTTGATTCAATTCCCAAAAAATGGACGATTGAGATCTTCTCCAATACGTTCTCTCTTATTTTTTTTTATTGAATTATCTATCATTAATGTGAATGGGACCCATTGTTTATAATTGGATTCTATATTTATTAACTTACATTTGACCTGCCACTCATTCTGTCTGTTTTATTTTGAGTAAATATTCGATGTAATGCTGTTACTACATCATTATCATTACGTGATGTTATTATTTAATGAAAAATGACTAAATAGATAAAAACAAACCTTATTTCTTTAAATGTATAGTTATTACATTACATACAAGGATAGTTATGAACGCATATTCACTTGTTATTTTATTAGACACCATTGCGTGAGAGTGAAAATGAGAATGAGAATGATGATGTGATGTTATTGTTACATTAAATATTTTGTTGTTTATGGGGTGCCAAATAAACAGCGTGAAAAGTGGTATGTTGGGTAGAATGTTTGATTTTTTTTAATCCTCCATCATTTTTTTTCCATATTTGAGCTAGGTTGTCATGAGTCTGTATGCTTTACTATTAGTTTAGTTGCTTTTATTTTATATTTTTTAATATGTCACTCCATAAATCAAGCGGGTTTAGAATTACTACTATGTTTAAATTATATTTAGACCCCTTGAACTATACCTCTCGTATCATATTTTCTCTTAAACTATCGACTTTTTTATATTGCACCTTAAATCATTGGTTTAAATTTTACATTGTCCAAATTTGTGCAACAAATCAGGGCAAAAATAGAATCCCACAATGTTGGATGATGAGGCATTTCCCTTCTTAGTTGGGCATAATTTCATTTATGTCTTAATTTGCCTTTAAAATATGGACAAAAGTCTACAATTGGAGCAATGGGAAACTCAAATTGATAGTTTAGTGTAATGTGAGAAAATTGATGGTTTAGAGGGCAATGCAAAATAACTAATATACGATAATTTGCTCTNTCTGTCTTAATTTGCCTTTAAAATATGGACAAAAGTCTACAATTGGAGCAATGGGAAACTCAAATTGATAGTTTAGTGTAATGTGCGAAAATTGATGGTTTAGAGGGCAATGCAAAATAACTAATATACGATAATTTGCTCTNAAGCCAAAGAACCCGAATTATTACAGGTAACTGTAATCCAAGATAA